CTCTCTCTCTTATATGGCTTCTTTATTTAGTTTTTTTTTTTTAAAGACAGAGTGGGGGAGAGAGAGAGAGAGAGAGAGAGAGAGAATTTTTTTTTAATATTTATTTTTTAGTTCTCGGCAGACACAACATCTTTGTTTGTATGTGGTGCTGAGGATCAAACCCGGGCTGCATGCATACCAGGCAAATGTGCTACCGCTTGAGCCACATCCCCAGCCCTTTATTTAGTTTTTTTTATTTACTCCTCACACTTCAGATAGAGCCCTAATATCCAGAGTATACAAAGAACTCAAAAAATTAGACAATAAGAGAACAAACAACCCAATCAACAAATGGGCCAAGGACCTGAACAGACACTTCTCAGAGGAGGACATACAATCAATCAACAAGTACATGAAAAAATGCTCACCATCTCTAGCAGTCAGAGAAATGCAAATCAAAACCACCCTAAGATACCATCTCACTCCAGTTAGATTGGCAGCCATTAGGAAGTCAAACAACAACAAGCGCTGGCGAGGATGTGGGGAAAAGGGTACACTTGTACATTGCTGGTGGGACTGCAAATTGGTGCAGCCAATTTGGAAAGCAGTTTGGAGATTTCTTGGAAAGCTGGGAATGGAGCCACCATTTGACCCAGCTATTCCCCTTCTCGGTCTATTCCCTAAAGACCTAAAAAGAGCATGCTACAGGGACACTGCTACATCGATGTTCATAGCAGCACAATTCACAATAGCAAGACTGTGGAACCAACCTAGATGCCCTTCAATAGATGAATGGATAAAAAAAATGTGGCATTTATACACAATGGAGTATTACTCTGCATTAAAAAATGACAAAATCATAGAATTTACAGGGAAATGGATGGCATTAGAGCAGATTATGCTAAGTGAAGCTAGCCAATCCCTAAAAAACAAATGCCAAATGTCTTCTTTGATATAAGGAGAGTAACTAAGAACAGAGTAGGGTCGAAGAGCATGAGAAGAAGATTAACATTAAACAGGGATGAGAGGTGGGAGGGAAAGGGAGAGAGAAGGGAAATTGCATGGAAATGGAAGGAGACCCTCAGAGTTATACAAAAGTACATACAAGAGGAAGTGAGGGGAAAGGGAAAAATAATACAAGGGGGACAAATGAATGTCAGTAGAGGGGGCAGAGAGAGAAGAGGTGAGGGGAGGGGAGGGGAGGGGGGATAGTAGAGGATAGGAAAGGCAGCAGAACACAACAGACATTAGTATGGCAATATGTAAATCAATGGATGTGTAACTGATGTGATTCTGCAATCTGTATATGGGGTAAAAATGGGAGCTCATAACCCACTTGAATCAAAGTGTGAAATATGATATATCAAGAACTATGTAATGTTTTTGAACAACCAACAATAAAAAATTTTAAAAAAAGAGGAAAAAAAAAGAAAAATAAAAAATATTTTATTTTTTATCTCTCAACTGGTGACAGAGGTATATTGAAGTCACCCAGTATTGTTGTGTTGTGATCTATTTGATTCTTGAGATCATGAAGGGTTTTTTTAATGTATGTAGATGATTTGTTGTTTGGGGCATAAATATTTAACATTGTTATGTCTTGTTGATGTATAAGTTCCTTTAAGAAGTATGAAATGTCCTTATTTGTCCCTTCTGATTAATTTTGACTTGAAGTCCACTTTATCAGATATGAGGATAGAAAGCTCTGCTTGATTGTGAAATCTATGTGAATGGTAAGTTTTTTCCTACCCTTTTGCCTTCAGCCTGCAGATGTCTTTGCCTATGAGGTGAATCTCATGGAGATGATATAGAAATGGTTCTAGTTTTTTAATCCAGTCTGCAAGTCTATGTCTTTTGATTGACAAGTTTAGATCGTTTACAATCAATATTATTATTGATAAATGGTTGTTGTTTCCTGTCATTTGGAATTCTTTCCGTTTTTTATTTTGAAATTGCTTCTTTTTTGATTGACTATTGTTTTAATGTAGTTCCTCCCACTGCTGGTTTTCACTTTTATTTTTCATTTTCTCTTCATGAAATATTTTAATGAGTATGTTTTGTAGTGCAGGCTTTCTATTTGTGAATTCTTTTAACATGTTTATCATGGAAGATTTTTTATTTCATTGTCAAATCTGAAGCTTAGTTTTGTATTCTTGTTTGGGTTCCATTTTCTTTCAGAAATATATTATTCTAAGACCTCCTAATTTTAAGGGTCTAGGTTGAAAATTAAGGTGAGATCCAAATTGACTTCTCTCTAAGTGTTACTTGACTTTTTTTTTTTCATGGGAAGCCTTTAGAAGTCTATCCTTATTCTATATATTAGTCATCTTCATAATAATGTGCCTTGTTGTTGGTTTGTTGTAATTTTGTATATTTGGGGTTCTATAAGTTTCTTGTATTTGACATTCCATTTCATTCTTAACGTTTGGGAAATTTTCAGACATTATTTCATGGAAAAGATTATGTATTCCTTTGGTTTGTATCTCTGAGCCTTCATTATCCTGATAAACCTTATGTTTGGTCTTTTTGTATTATCCCATACTTCTTGGAGTTTTAGTTCAAGGTCTCTTAACATATTTTACCCATGCTCAACTTTATTTTCAAGATTATTTATTTTGTCTTCTTTACTGAGCTTTCTTCCAGGTGGTCTAGTCTGCTGGTGATACTTTCCAATGAATGTTTTATTTGATTTATTGATTTCTTCATTTCTAGGATTTCTTTTATTTGTTTGTTTTCATGATCTCTCCTTATTAAAGTGATCATTGTTACCTGTATTTTCTCCATTATATTGTGCTTTACCTCACAAATCAGTTTAACCATGAACATTCTAAATTCCTTCTCCAAATTTTCTTTCGCTATACTGTTAATAGATTGTGTTTTTGACTTATTTTGGGTTTTTGAGGCAATTTCCCTTGCCTTTTCATGATGTTTGTATGTCTACCCATCTACGAGTTGATTTTGAGACAGTAGGGTTTCTACATAATGGAATTATAGAGTCCCTGAAGATTTCTTGTACCTCACAGTTTAGGGGGAGTCAGATAGTAACAACAACAGATGCAAACAATTTATAGCATTATACAAAATAGCTCTTACACTGAAATCTACAATCTTGATTGTTACAATACTCAGAAACAATATGATCAGTTATTGCCCATGGTAAAAAAACAGTTAATTTATATAGGGTTTCCAATTTTACGGGATGACCAGAGATAGAACAGAAGTAACATAGGATGTGAAAATTATGAGGAGAAACAAAAATAGAGGTAAAATTTTTTTGAAAAAAATGGAAGAGAGAACAATAGAGGTTTGCTCTTTGCAGAGAAAAAGAGAAAGAGAGTTGAAGGAAAACAATAAGTGATAAAAAGGAAATAATAAAAATAACAACAGAAATTTTTTAAAAAATTAAAAGATAAAATAAAAATATAAGAATAGAAATAAAAGTTTAAAAAAGTAAAATCTATATACACTAATCAAACATCTTAGTATTTGAAATATTTATCCATTAAAAATAAATGCCTTCAAATAAAATGGTGGAAATGAGAAAAAATGAGGATATATGAATACATATAAGAATCCAGTTAAACATAGTTTTTCAACAGGAAAAGAAGAAGAGATGGGGTTGCAGAAAAAGGTTTGTAGATTCTAGAGGTGAGTAGGGCATATGCAGGGGTGACATAGTATGTGTTTTAAGAGGAGAAAACCTTAAAAAATATTTTAAAAACAAGAATTTTAACAATAGAAGTAAAAGAGTTAAAGGAAGAATGAGAGAGTGAACAATAGAGTTTGGCTGTTGGCAAGAAAAAGAGACAAGTAGAAACAAAGGAAAACTGACTTATGAGAGAGTCAATAGGAAGTCAACCCAAAAATATACTAATCAAAGACCTAATCTTCCAGAAAAAATACAGAGCACAAAAAAAGAAAAGAAAAGAAAAGCTTCCTTAAGGAAATGTTAAAAGCTAAAAAGAGCAACAAAAACAAATATGTATGTGTACAAATGCATAACTGTCCATCATTTGTTAATCAATACACATTCAAAAACAAATCAAATCTTAACAACATAAAATAGCAAAACAGTCAATGAAAGGGTTTTTTTGTCTGCTTTCTGTGCCAACTGCCTTTCTGTTTCTCAGCTTCCCTTCTCAGTGGGATGGTGTGAAGAGCTCTGGAAGATGCTGGCAGCCTGATTTCCTGAGTTTTGTTTGGAATTTGCACAATGTATCACTGCAAATGAAGCTCTCAGGGGCAGGGATTTGGTCTGTATTTCCCCAGGTGTTTTTATGAGGAGGTTTTGGGGCATTAATGAATCAACATGCATCTAGCGCTGTATCCCACTACTCTCCACAGGGCACCATCCATGGGCTGAGGAAGTCTGTCCTTCGAGGGTTCTGTTTTTCAGGGATACTGAGGGAGGTTTTTTTGTTGCTTTTTGTTTCCCAAAGGGTGTTTTCAAGCACTGAGCTCAGTCACTCTATCCCATTGAGTTTCTGCTTTCTGCTGATTCTGTGTGCTGCTGGATCCTGGTTCAATTGGAGGGGTAGATAGAGGCTGAGGGCTTTCTGTATCAACTCTGATCTGTATTACCCTTAGGCAAAGCTGCTTTTGGAGCACTAATCTCTTTCTCTCTGCCCTATTTGGTTTCTCCCTATGCATATCCTGCTCACTGCCAAGTCAATGGAGTGGGAAAGGGAGACATGGGCTTTCTATGGTCTCTCTGATCTGTATTTTTCCCGGGTAAAATGGTCTCCATACCAAAAAATTTCCAGATTTGCTAGACTCAATTTAGAGCTCACAGTTGGCATCTGCTGGATTCCTGTGTTTGTTTCTGCCTGGAATTCACAAATATAAAGCTCCTGGTCGAAGTTTACACAACCTTTCTCACAGACATATTTATGTTTTGAGCTCCTTGTGCATGGCTGGCAGACCATGACTTTTATGTACCAGTTTACTGCTCCAATACCTCTGGGTTCTGCCCCAGACAGGCTGCCCCTTCGATCCTGGGGTTCCCCCCACCAAGAAATTCCAAGTCTTTTCAACCCTTATATTTTACCCCCAGACCCAACACCCACTCTCCTGAAGCTCCAATTCAGTTTCTTGGCCTTATCTGATGTGCTTCAACCTTCCCAGTGTTCAAGGCATTCAGTTGGATACCGATTATCAGTAGACTGTTTTTCCTTTTATCTCATCTCCTGGAGAAGTAGTTTCCTCACTGTTTGAGTCCTGAGTCATGGAGCTCTGAGAACCAGGATTTGTTTGGATGGTATAATAAAGTACGGAAACATTGTTCAACACTATGGCATACACATTGATTTGGTGAAATAAAATTATATTGGAGATGAGTAAAAGAGTTCCTTGTTAAAAATTCTTCCCTAACATCCACAACATCTCCCATATCCAGGACTTTCAGGATTAATGATGTCTCCGAGGGGTAAAAAGTAATATTTGGCAAGGGTATATCACCTGGAAAAAGATACTAAGAGTATTTTTGTCACGATCGGGAGAATAACATTACTGGTTACAAGAGGTGTTATAGCCACAATACAACTGTTGGAACAGAAATAAGAATCATAGAATAGCATTTTTCTTTTCTAGAAGTTTTTTAAGAGCCTCTTTGACATCTTTGTTTCTCAGGGAATAAATCAAAGGGTTCAACATAGGTGTGACTAGGGAGTAACATAAGGAAGCCACTTTACTCAGTTCAGGAAACCTGTCAGGGATGAGGTACATGAAGAAGACAGCCCCGTACAGCACACTCACGACTCCCAGGTGGGAGCTGCAAGTGGAGAAGGCTTTCTTGCGGCCCTCAGTGGAGCGAATATTTAGAACTGTGGACACAATATACATGTAAGAAACAATAATGACTATGATGGTTGGCAACATAATGATGATAGACAAGATAAAAGAGAGCATTCTGTGGACAAAAAGGTCAGAACAAGATAATCTCTGAAGTGGGCGAATATCACAATAAAAGTGGTCAATGGCCCGAGAAGCACAAAAAGATAAAGTAAATGTCATACTGGTTTGAAGAACTGAAGTTATGCATCCGCAGAAATACGATCCAGCCACCAACTGAGTGCAGAGACGTGCTGACATCTGAACAGAATAGAGGAGTGGGTTGCAGATGGCAATGAAGCGATCATAAGCCATGGCTGCCAGGAGAAATCCCTCTGTCGCAAGGAAGAGTGCAAACAGAAAGACCTGGGCCACACAGCCTGCAAAGGAGATGGACTTGCTTTCAGACCAGAAGTTGCTCATGGCCTTGGGTGCAATAACAGATGAATAGAAGAGATCAACAAAAGAGAGGTTGCCTAGGAAGAAATACATTGGTGTGTTCAGCCTGGGGTCAGTCATGATAATGGCCATCATCCCAACATTCCCTAGAAGGATCATGACATAGACAAGCAGAAATATCAGGAAGAGGAGAAGATGGAGCTCATAGCGCACCCTGAAGCCTATGAGAATGAAGTCAGTCATTTCTGAGTGATTGCTTGTTTCCCTGTCACCCATGGAAGACACCTGATGAGAGGCATAAGCAAAGTAAACAAATACACTCTTAGCTTTTATCTTAGCATTATAAATCATCTTACAGTATTTAGATTTACAAGATTATTCTGAAATCATTATTAATTTTATCCTCATAGACAAACTGTGACTTGAATAGAATTCAACCTAATGATTTTTGAATCTAATTTTTTTCCCTTATTAGAGTGGTAGAATATTTTTTCTGTGCTTGTAATGGAATTCTACCAAACCACTTTTCACATAGGCAAATACCACTATCTACATATTTCCCCCTTTGGTTTAGATAATAATTTCAGTATCATAGAGCAGTAACAGGAAGAGAGCACAATAATTTGATGAATTTCATTCAGGAAGCACTTTAGGTACTCTGGACTTGGAGATATTGGGGTCTTTAGTAATCACATTTAGGAAAACCTGTGGGTTTGATGTATAGTACTAACAGATATAAATAAAGTGACTGTATTTTTTAATTATTTAAGATATTCAATTGCATTTTGTAGGTCATGGAAACTGAATTCTATATCCACTAAATTTGTATACTCACTAAAATAAAAGGTGTGCACAACCAATTACAAATATGACAATCTCTTTCCCAGATGCAACATCAATAGTGTTTCATTAAAAGAAAAACTTGCATTCCCTTAGCTCACAGTTCATAGTTCTTTAAAGAGAGGTCCTCAGAAGACTCACTTTAGAAATTTACACTGAACAAAATATGAATATGAGGGAATTGTTAATTGCATTCTTATGTATCCTGATTCATCCTCATAACTACCATTAATTGATTAGACAGCTTAAATCGATTTGAACTCCTTGTATTAAGAACATGGTATACTTTTTTCTTTCCCCTCAGGACTATCCATCATTCTGTATGGGCAATAGTAATAGCAGCAAACATATATAAGGCATTTTAAATATGTCAGACACTTTTCTTAAGGTTTTCATAATAGCTTGTTTAATCCATGCAATAATAATGTAAGGTGAATACTTTTATATTGCCATGTCTACAGGTAAGGTACAGAGAAATAAAGTCTGTTGAAATTCACCTGCTGGTTCAGCATGTAGTTCAAGGCTAAGAAACTTGTCTCCAGAATCCATTCTCCTAATCATTCTTAATGGTTTATTAAAACTATTGCCTTTTAAAAGGAAGTGTTTCTGTTCCTTTACCTGACTTCTACTGGTGCTTTCATGTTAAATTTTCCTATCTTTAAAATAAATTTCCTAATTCTCCCATCTGGGTCAAAATACCTCCCAAGGATAATAGATGTTATCACCATATTTTCATATTAAATATTAACTATTCTTCACATAACAATATCTTTCTTAACATAGGACATAACTTGTTCTCCATACATTGTCATCATGATATATTCTGTGCCTGGCCAATGACATATCAATAAATGTTTACTGTGTAGTTAAAAGCTGAATAATAATTGAGCATGCAGAAAGCAAAGAAAATTAAATACTGTGGTGGTCAGCATGGGTTTTAGGTTAGGACAGATTTAGGTTCCACTTCTGCTTCTCTCACTTTCTGAATTAGACCTTGAGAGAGTTCTTGATTGTGTAGAGAGCATTTGTGCCGTGTTGTACCTTGTTGGGTAGAGTACTGTTTGTACCTTGTTGGGTAGAGTATCCAAACAGAAAAGGCAGATAAGAGCAATAAAATTCTCAAACCTTTCTTGTGGATACAAAATCATGTATGTAGACAAATCATTTGACACCATATACAGAAAAGTATTCAATAAATGTAGCCATGATTTCTTTTATTGTAATTTCATAAACAAGAGTGATGCAGTTCTATAATAATAAAATGCAAATGGGCTTTTGAGGCTAAACCATTCTATGTTGAGGGAAGGAATCAGATAATTTTTTAAGGTTTATAGAAAATGAAGAAAATTATGAGCAATGTAATATTTTCCCTGAGGAAAAAAAAATAGGACAAAGAGAAAAATGGCATAATGTGTTATCATGATTCACTACAGTTTTAAAAACTAAAAATAAAATATGCACCAATCCTAAGAAAAGTTAAATATGCAGATTACTTTATCATGAAGAAACAAGATTTTAAATTATGTCATACTTTATGGTCTGGAGAGATGTGGCTTACTTTAGTAGTGAAAGAGAGCCTGAGTAGTTATGAAGTATCATTTTTTGAAAAGCAGTATATTTTATTTGTCTTCCTTTAATTTTGCTAAATTCCTTTAATTTTCAAGGTTTATTCTTATGAAACTTTTTCAAATATCATGCTTTAATATTACTATTAAATATTCATTATTCCTCACCTGATAACAATTTCCTTAATATCAAAATCAACTTGTTCATTGTATATTTACTATCAGCATAATATTCTGAGTCTAGAAAATGACAAATAATCAATAAATACTTATGGATAAAGTATATCTAATTAGCATGCATAATCAAAGAAATGTTTAATAAATCCATATCATAAATATCACCTATGAATGTTATACCATCATAAACATTAGTAAATGTATGGCTTAAGACATTTTACCTGAAAAAAAAGAGGTTCTTCCCAAAGTAGCCAACAAACAAACAATGAGTTTGTGGCTAATTATTTGCTAAAAGCTCAAGTGTTTTAAAAGTTACTTTTTACCTTGTGTTATTTGGTAGTTGATCAGATCTGTTAAAGATGAAGCAGTGGAGTCCAAAGTTTTCCTTTTTTTTAATTCTAGAAAGGTAAACATAAAGTTAATTAATTGCTGTGTCACAACTATAAGTACTGGAAAATGATGATTGTTATATAAAATAAAACTCTTCCCCCAAATGAATGTTAATTATCTTAATTTTCAATTTCTGTCATACAGAAATGTCACCTATTTTTCTCATCTGTATTTTTTCAACTATGCTTTCCTTCAGTAGTTGATTTCTTGAGAATTTATGTAGTCTATCTCAGGAGAAAATCAAGGTGAATTTTCTAATAATGCTCTGCCAAAATTGAAATGATAACAGGATCTATATTCTATAGTTACATAAAGTGAACCTCAAGAATCAAACATCAGAATAGCTTCTCTCCTGCATTCTTAGGTGCTCATATATTTTTAAGGAAGGAGAATAGATTGTCGTGGATATGTAAGTAGAGGTTCAGATTCCTAAACCATCTGGAATCTAATAATCTGCAAAAATATCAGCCTCAGTGTTCTTAAGGGTTTGGGGTTTATTATAACAGTGTAACTTTTCCCAATAATTGCAGCATTGAGATTTCTCTTGCCTTCTGGGAGACAGTCACCTTTGGGAGAGAAGGAAATGTAAGTTAATTATTACATGTCTAGGTTCCAGAACCAAGTCCATAAGGACCATAGAGACTCTAGATTTTTAAAAAGAGAGAGCATAATAGGACTTAAATAATACAAAAGTTTTCCTCTTTCCTTGTGTGAATGCTTAGGTAGGAAACAAAAGGACTTTTCCATTTTAATTTCTACATTGAAAAGTCACATTTTCAATTTAACATCATAACATAATTTTTGGTAAACAAATTGAAATAGATATAAAAGGAAATATTATATTTCATAATATATTTTAAGGGAAATTTTTTGTCTTACTTGTAAGTCACCAGTGTGCTTTTGATTTTGTTTCCCTAACACCTGAAAATATTCAACATTTTTTTTCATATATTTTTTGGCCACTGTTATTTCTTTTCAGAAATGTCTGTTTAGCTCATTTGCATACTTACTGTTTAGGTTATCAGTGTTTTAGGTGCTAAATTATTTGAGTTCTTTATGTATACTAGATATTAATCTCCTTTTGGGGAGTAGCTGGAAAGGATTTTCTCTGATTCTGTAAGATCTCTCTTCATGCTCTTGATTGTTTTATTTTCAGTTCAGAAGCTTTTTAATTTAAAGCCTCCCATTTGTTCTTCTTCTTCTTTTTTTTTTTTTTTTTTTTTTTTTGATAAGGAAAATAAAAGCAGACAGAAGCAAGGTGCAGGGGCAAAAGCAAAAGCTGCAAGAGTGAGCGTCTAGCTTTATTTATATCCACAGGTTACTTTAGATCATTGACATCATTAGTACATATTGTTCATTGTATCACTAGGCAGGTTACAGATTTAGCAACATTATGTAGCTTATTCCTCAGTTACATACTAAGTTGCAATGTGCAATACTAGGAGCTTTTTAGAGCTCTCAAGAAAGTCCATTGTATAAAGTTACTGTTATGTGGACAACTTTAGGCTCAGTGATACATTGTGGTTGTCTAACAACATAATTCCTTTATTCCCAGGAGCTGAGTGTCTGAGATCAAGGTCAAGGCTGATAAGACTCTATCACAGAGCTTCCTCATGAAGAACATTGCTCCAGCAGCTAGGCATTCTGTGTATTAGTTATCTTACTAGTACCTAGGAGAAACTGCAGAGCATTCTAAGGGTGGGAAAGGGGTGCCAGTTACCCCCATAGCCCCCTGGGAGTTTGTTCACCAGAGGAACACTTCCCTGTATAGTTCCGTGGTCAGAATAAAGTTTTAGGTATCCTATTGAGAAAATCATTGCTTTTGCTTATATGTTCTACTGTTGACACTTAGATTTTTTTTCTAGCAGTTGTAGAGTTTCTGTTCTAATTACTATCTCTTTGATTCAAGTTGAGTTGACTTTCATGGAGAGAGAGAGAGAGAGAGAGAGAGAGAGAGAGGAGAGAGAGAGAGAAAGAGAGAGGTTTTCATTTTACTGCATACATATATTTAGTTTTCCCACCACCATTTGCTATAAAAAGGGATGTTTTTTCTCCAGTGTATGTTTTGTGCCTCTGTCGAGCATCAGATGACTATTTCTGTGTGAGTTTATCTGTCTTCTATAACATTTATCTCTGTCTATTTTTAGATCAGTACCACACTGTTTTTGTTACTATACTTCTGTAATATAATACAAAGTTGGATATTGCAATGCCTTCAGCATTGCTTTTTTTGGTCAGAATTGTTTTGGCTATTCTGAGTCATTTATTCTTCCAACTGAAGTTGGAATTTTTTTTTATTGTTCTGTGAATAATGCCATT